CCAGGAAGGTGCCCTTATAAGGGCGCTATCAAGCCACAACATTACGACCCAAACGCCCGCCACGCCCGCCCGCCCACAAATGGACGACCGTTCCTGACGCTCTAATTGATTCATTTGCTAAGCAAATTATGAAGCGAAGGGATTGGTATGAAGCGGCCGTGATGCTGCATGCATACATGGGTACACATATGCAGCCGTATCTTCGGTAGCGGTGATTGGCAAGATGCCTACGGGAAACTCGTCCGAAATCGATTTACAAGTCACTGAGAACGGAGGCTTTTTCTTCGCAGGATTTTGACCGTTTCACTCCGTTCTTTCGCCATTTCCCCACTATACAGCGCCCTACTAGCATTTTAGGCTAAGTAGGAAACCATCGTGCCAACTGCCTTTGAGGAGGGCACACTGAAGGAGGGCATCCGAGAGAATTTCAGATAAAGGCTAGGGCGAGAACTTCCCATAATGTGATGATCTGCGCGAAAGTCAAAATGAGGCTTTTTGAGCTAATTCAAGAGATTGATGAACACTAGGTAGGAAGTGTATTCATCCATCATGTCTATCATCCCCTTCGACGATATCATTGAGAGGGTGGTGTGTGCAATTTGTCGTCGGTGACGTTTCCGACATGTCTGTGTCTCTTCGTTTGCTATGCTGTCTAGGCGTTGGCTGTTTGCAAGAGTCCTCAAGCACCACTTCAAACCGCGCCGATGCATATAATCCGCACGGGAAGCGATGATCGTGAAACTTTTGCTGCTAATTGATTTCGCGGGGATATTCCAATTATTTGCTGATGAATTTTAACCATGCAGCCGTTGCTTTTCATAAAAAAATATAAAGTGGGGTAAGCTCCAGTGACGAACTTCTATGGTGATAGCCAGATCCCTTCCCACACTTCTGTCTTATTGGGATGCTCCATAATGTGAATTTCACATTTCTGTAAGGTTGTGGAGCTCTCGAATGTAGGCATTGGTAATGTGATCCATAGTCGATGCGGTCGCAATCAGTCGGGGCGGTATCAGGAGGCGTGGAATGACCCACCACGGCTGCATTTTTCACCACCAATGGTGATCGTTCAGGGAGTCGACACTCATTGGTTGGAACCGGTCGCGCTGGGCTGAGTCCAGGCCTCTGACAGCGCAGCGACTGAAGGCGACGATAAAACTTTATACAGGAAAAGGGCGTCCAAACGGTCTTTTTAACACAGATGGACTGAAAAGTGAAACCTGTAGGACTTCAGAAACTCTTTTGGCAGAAACTTTACCTATGGAAGCCATTTGGTGGCCCGTCACAGATCAATCGCTTTTGTCGATGTCCCCATTTAACGCTACACCTTTTTCAAAAAATCGATGAGAACTCACGGTAAGGTATTCCATGCCCTGATCACAAATATGGCATTCATTTTTTGACATCAGCGCTACAATCTGGGAGAGAAGTGACTCCGCTCCCAGCCTCAGCCTTAGCAGAGCGCAGATGATTAGAGTGCCTGTACCAGCGTTGGCCGCAAGGAGAGAATAATAATTATCCGCTTAATTCAGGCATAGCTAAACTCCCCGCCCCTGAGAGTTATGCATTTTTTGGTGAACGGAGGTGGCACCAATTTGGCGGCTGTTGGCGTCATATGGCCACCAAATGGCGTCAGTATTATATCCGTGATCAAGGTAGTATGGCTAAAAACTTATTATGTGTTTCAGCAAGGTTTTTTTTCGAATTTTGGCCGTAGTGATTTTGTTTCAATAGTGCCACACTTTTTTGATCATGCCATTCGAGTGGCTATAAAATTCTTGTCCCTAGCACCTGTCTTCTGGTTTTGTTCTCATTCAGTGGTTAATGGCAAAGAAAAAAAAAAAAAAAAAAAAAAAAAGACATTAGTCCGATTCAGAATGGGGAATTCATCATATTTTCTTACGATTTAACTGAACCAAAATCACTTCAAACTCTTTGAGGTTAGGAGGACACCTCGTGTGGCGTGGATGCCAGTTACGACTCTGGTGGAAGATTTGGCGCCAGTGATAATTCAGCTGTACATACTTTAAGATGAGATAGCGGGAGTGAGAGCAGATGATTGCGTTTCCCAACGAATAAGGACCCCTTTCTCTGTTCTCGCTGAGGTCCTTATATGGAGCAGTCACTGTTGTTTAGGCGGTAATGGGATACTGCAAGCTAGAAGCGCTGCGTGGTACCTTTTTGGTGTTGGCTCGGACTCTGCTCATCCTTTTAACCATAAGATGTCATTTATTTGTGTGCGTAGACTTATTCGTGATTCTGTGCCATTTAGAACAAGCTAAGACTGGGTTCGTCGAAGCACATCAGTCTTCGCCCACCTGTAGTCGCAGAAAAAGCCGTTCACATAGAGAATTACCTTTCAAGAACCCACTTCATCAATACCGAACGCATAATATTCTTCCGATTTAGGGGTGTCGGGGCTGGTGAGATATCCTACGAGGTAAATATGTACAGCTGCGAAAAAATGCAATATCGAAGTTTTCTATGGAATTATTACATAATTCTCCTTTTTCTGTGCACCCAAATGTTGTGGATATAGGTATTATGCCTGGAAGAACTGTCTCCAAATCTAAAAGAACCTAAGCAAGCACAGAAGTACATGAACTTTCATTTTCGTTTCAAGTTCCAAGTTTTTGCAGCTGTACATATCGCAACATCTTATTAACGATTTTCCGTTCTTTCAAAAGACACTGAATTTTGAACTTAGTTAATGAGTATAACCAGAAAGTAGTAAATAGTATTGACTGAAAGACCGAAGAGGCGGCTTAGGGTTCTATTTCAACAGGACATCACAGAGTTTGATGTTTTGTTCCATTCCATTTTCAGCTTTGTTTGCTTGTCCGCTCCTACCTTCCAAATATTTTTCAGCCCTTTTAATCCCATGCTATGGGTCTCCGCTTCTCAAGACTCCTGAAGTCGATAAGTCAATCACACCAATCCATTTTAAAAGGCTTATTCACTTATAGTACTGCTAATCGGCTAAGTGTTTGCAGAACTGTCTGGGATCTTAAAAATGGCAAGCGGCAGCGCCTTCTCAGTTCCTGGTATGGGTTAGGTAGACAGTTTATATCTTCGTAGTCCGACGAGGTGGTATCAGCTGCCGAAAACAATCAGCAGCAGACTCCATGGGCTAATTCCACATCTCCTGACACCACTTGCAGACTATGACGATTTCAACAGCAGTTTCAGTTTCTGACTCAGATCAGCCTTGTCTCATTTAAAAGATTTCGCAAGTTCTTTCAAAAACAATCTCTCTCTGGTTTTCGTGATATTATTTATCTCTACTCCTTCGCTTTTTCCATTTGACCGAGCCCTCACTATACGATTTTTCTTCGTTGAAAAGGGCTTTCTCTCCCAATATGTCAGAAGGCCATCTTGCTGTCTGACAGACTTATTGGCTTTTATTAATGTAAAATGGCAAGCACGTTTTTGCCCAGTTTCTAGCAGCACAAAGGCTACGAATGAAAGGTATCTGACTGTCTGATTTGCATCCGAACTTTTCGCTAGGCGTGCCAGGCTTATAAATTAATAACTGACTACGTTTTGGTGGAGTAGGCGGAGCGCTCCCGGGCAGACCTCCTGTAGTGGGCTAGTGAGAAGCGCGCTCAGCGCCCCTTGATGCTCGCAAACCCGATTTACGTTTTACAATGTCCTTATGTGGATTCTACCTCAGATGATCTCATTTGAGCAGGGTTTGACTTGAGACTGCAAAACCGTGATTTTCTTTAACACGTTCGTTTCTTTAATCACGTGGGTGGTACCACATGCTATTTCCATAGTGTCATTCTTTAATTTTATTGAAAAGCGATTTCCAATTGTGCATTTCGAATGCATACAGCTCTGTTCCAAATTGTCGGAGGCATGGCGCATTCCAATGGAACCGACTATCCCAATCTTTCATTAGCAGCTGTGCTCCCAATGACGGACGCCCGCCCCCAGCGATCGTGGTGAACACGCATCGCTGGAGGCGGGCGTCGTTGCCAGCGTCATTGATGGAAGGGCTGAGTGAGGGCGCACGAGCAACTGCCTAACGTTTTGTGGAGGTGTCGCTAACTCTCTTCCCACCAATGACGCCGGCAGTAACCGCCCACCAACAGCAATCATGCTCACTGCCTTAAATCTTCGTCATAGGACTACCTATCTATGGGCTCATATGGAGTTTTGAACGTTTCTTGCAAGTGTTACAAATCGCTGAGGTACTCCACCCCAACGTTTTGCCTCGTCGGAATTTTCACGCCAGCAAAAGCAGTTTTGGGCTTTGCATATGGAATGATGACAAATGGCAGTGGATCACTTTGTTTATCCACCTTGGAGAGGGAAATTTGATATTCTGCAGACAAAATATCTTCCACTGGGCAAAACAAAGGTGTGCAGGTGTCGTGAGTACCGTGCGGTGTTGAGAACGAAATTTTTCAGTGATCTGTAAATATTTTTCAAAAGACACTGCCTACGAATAGCTGGACGGACCAAGTCCATCTCTAGACCACTGTAGTCTCCTCTGCTGCGCCAGTCCTGTGAGAATTCCGCTCCAAGAACTTATTCATTGACTTCCGAAGTCTTCAAGACCTCTACCTCTCCTATACTCCGCCCATCCTAAGGGATCCCTGTTGACATGGCCAGTGAACACAGAAGAAGCGCGAGATTCATGTATACTATTATAAGAATGAGGAGATATTCTAGTTGTGAGACCTACACTAAATAGGAGGCAACAGGTAATATTGCAAAATATAATATGTTGTGTTGTAAACAAGAGTAAACTCGTCCGCAGGACTTGTAGCTTTCCCCTTAGCTCGTAAGTCCTTGAAATCGTTTACTTGAAGGCGACTTAGCTTTCAGCAGTATCGGCAAATTCTTTCGTCACTGGTAACTCTTGAGGAGTAATCAGGGGACTCCTCGAGCAAAATATAATAATAGCGATAATATATACAATAGTTAACAAGATCTAAACACAGTTATTGTATGGACATCCATCTCAGAGTTTCTCTTTCATTTCAGGTTTAGGCAAAAGTCTCTGTATTCATGGATCCTAGTTTTGCTGAAGGGTCTTTCCAATATCTCCCCAAAAATTATGAACGCCATTTTTTCCTTTCGCTTTTTGATTCCTTGATTGTTTGAAGAACTTGCTTGCCCACTTTGATATTTTGGCTCTTTTCCCCATGGAAACTGCCATCGTTTTTGATGAAATGATGGTTTCAGGTCGGCGGAGAAATGCCGGTCGGTGAATGTGCTGTGCTGCGAGATCGACCAGCGCTACGTCTTGATTCTCGTCTTGTATGTAAATATGAAATACTATCTGTCATAGGAAAGGGCAGCTTTTCACAGGTTTGTTCCTTTTTCTTTTCCCTTCCGTCATCGTTTGGTTCCGAGGTCTGATATAGAGGGGCCTTTTCTTGTGAGGTGGCAAAAGGGTGAGCAAAAGCGCCATGACCCTGAGTCACCGCTTCTCCCATTACCAGAACGAACCTCAAAAATGCAGTAGACCCTGAGTCACGACCTCTCCCATTATCGCGGAACGTGCCTCAAAAATACAGGGAACTGCTTAAGAAACCTAACTTACTTCATACAACTTGTCTGAAACGTCTTGAAATGCCATTGATGCTCGTCGTAATGTGAATCGAAGTACTTACCATTGTGGGTGCCAGCTGGTTCAACACTGACCAGTTTCATTACAGTACTCCATGTTTTGACGCAAGCACATTCCTATCATTCTTAGAAGAGTCATCTTTTTTCTCTTTTCTGCTGGTTTCGGAAATTGAAGACGGCGAAAGCGCTCCGATTACAGTTGCTGGAACCTTTTTAGCTGGGTTCTACCCAGATTGGTGAGGGATTCGAGTGCGTCTCCGTCCCTAGGCTCGTGGAACCCAGTACGTATGCAGTAATTGAGCAACTCCAAGGTGTAATTCCTGACTTTACAAGGCATGCGACATGAGGCTTCATCTGAATAATGCGCCGCTATTGCGGCGCCGCACCCCTCCTCCATCTCCACTTGCCCGCTTGGAATATGACGGTGGTGGTAACACCCCTCAGTCTTTTTATCCGGGGAATTCTCAGGTGCCAATAGTTTCATTTGGCTGGCAGGTGGAACTTTTTACTGCATATGTGCCCACATTCTGAGAGTCAAAAGCGCGGTCGGCTCCCGTGTTGGCTAATCAGACCTTTCCTTCCATTCGGGATTAGTGAAATATTACTGGACTTGCCTGGGAGTAAAAGCACTGAGTTGCCACTCCGATGTTGAATAGAATTTGGATGCGTGCCATTCCCAAAAATGAACTGATCAACGGCAGAAAGCATTACCCTTTGGCGCTTTTCGGCGACGTGGGGAGGTGGGCATTTTGCTTCCCATCGATGTATCGACCCATCTAAGTAGCTTTTTCTTGAGTTGACACGTTTTAACATGGTGGCTAGACGAGCTTGCTCCAGCTTCACAAGAGTTCACAAGTTTCACCAGAGTGGGACTTGTAAACCGGAAGTAGTGAAGCAGTGAAAGTGCAAAATGCCCCCTTCGCCGAACTGCCGGCCATACCTTTTATTTCTGCGGATGACCTGATTAGCTCAGCAACTGTAGAAATCATGAAGGCTCTTACTTGAGTAGCATCGTGCAGTTTCATATTTTGCTTTGGTCTGTTTGAAATGCAACGTGTTCTTGAAAGAGCCGTGGATAGAGAAAGAGCTCGAGTAAAGACAGTTGTCCATTGTCACATTTCAGGTAATGCGGGTGCAGCACCGAATCTCGCGGAAATACTTCGCTGTGAAACTCGTTTCATCCGATTGTGGTTCGGTGAACAATGAACTTAACATTCTTAGCCGTGTTTCACATCCCTTCGTTATACGACTAGAGGAGGTAATTTTCTTTCATATAGATATTTATTCCTGTTTATTACTATTTATTTCGTTGGATTTTTTCGCAAATATTTTTGGACGCTGTGTTCAAGAGGGCCGTACTGTTTGGAAAGTTTTCCAGTTTTTTTTGACAACTGGAAATTTTTCCAAGAATTTTGAAAAAAGGGTAGGAACTTGAAACGTTTCAAATATGAGGACGGGGATTCGTGCTCCAGGAAAGGTCGTATTTTGCGAAGCTTCTCTAGCGACTAAGCTAAGCTGCTGGAAGCTTAGATTCATTTTTATTTTCAAATCTACTTCCCATTTACAAACTTTTGTTTAGGTATTCAAGTCATCCTCAAAACTTTTCATTGTTATGGAAATGGCTAGCGGAGGGGAAATGTACGAGCGAGTGGTATCCAAAGGCAGGTTAGAAAACCCCGATTTTTTGAACACTCATACTCATCTAAATATTGAGAACTTGAAGGCACAGCCCACGTTGGTCGGATGAGCGGCGTCCGGAAACCCTTTTGCCTTCATTGGCGCGTGGCCCTTCAAAGGCAGTTGGCACTTTAATTCCATGTTACCTTAAAAAGGAGCAAAGCCGCCCGGTAATGCTAAAACAGTGAAAAAACAGGGCGAAATGGTGGGGAAAGAACGAAGTGGGGGCTTCATTCTTCGCTGAACAGCCGTAGTAGACGAGCGAACGGCTGGGCGGGCGCTGCTTTGGACGAGTCTACCGATTGAACCGTTTACTGCTGGCAAAAAGCCAGCAGTACGTTCTACGTTGCTCTACGTTACACTACATTACACGTAGGCACGGGCGGTTCATACACGTAGGCGCGGTCCACAACGGCACGTCCTCGTGCTGTGATGCTATACGTCCAATAGTAGGCGGGCGGGCGAGGTGGGCGTCCGGGTCGGTATGTTGCTGCTCGATAGGGCGCTATAAGGGTACCCTCCTCAAAAAAGGCGCTACGCAGCGCCTGTTCAGGGTCACGGAATTCTGTCATGCCAGTCGTATCAATCCTACACGTCTTTAGGGATTTATCGTGCCAACTGCCTTCAAAGATAGTGAGTGCAGTTGGATGCGGGTCGTTGTTGCCAGCGTCATAGGTCCTGAGGGTCTTTAGCCACACCCCACTCGGCCCTTCCACCAATGACGTTGGCGACAAGCGGCCCGCCCCAGCGTGCCCACTGCCTTTAACATCCTTGAAGTGAAGCTCCCAGCAAGAGAATACACACTTGTTCTGCCACACACGATAAACGTGTCTTGTGCCGTTTGATTTCTGGTGATAATGAGTCATGACAATTCTTCAATAAAGTCGAAATCATGTAACGTTCCTTATCCTCAGGTATTCTGAATCAGAAGCACGGCAAGCATGAAGATGCTTTTGAACGGACTTGCCTACCTTCATTCATTACGGATCACTCATCGTGATCTGAAGCCGGAAAATCTACTGTACAGTGACACGAGGCCCGACGCAAGGTGAATCTGACTTTCTTATTCGGTCACCGTTATTTCCCGAGAACCGATTTTTTTCTAAGCCCATGTTGCTTGAGTTATTGTACGGTCATAAACCATTAGAGACACATTTCACGATATCACGACGTAAGTGGCAGCGTTCAAAGAGGGATTTGTAGGTACCAGGAAACGAGACAGTGAAGAAAGGACCAAATCAAACTGTCAAAAATGCCCCAGATAAGGATTCTCATTGCGCTGGGGATAGTACGGGTACGAGGAAACACTGGGCATTTGGGGGATAAGCAAACGTTGTAAGTGCAGAGGCGGACGAGACTCATCTCATTTAGCAGCTACATTTTCTACACTCATGGGTGGGCGGGACTCGTCATAAGCATCCGGTATCCTTGGGGTGTAGAGTGCTATTTTTAAGTCGCAGCATCACACTCACTAGCAAAGCATTCCCTAGTACATAGTGCTCTAGATATAGGTAGGCATAGAGAGAGAGTTAGTCGACTCGTGAGACGAAGGAGGGAAAGTGAGAGAGTCGAAACTCGCGCTCTGCCATGTTGAGTGGTGCTGGTGCGAATGTCGCGTACGCCACCCCCTCCAGCGCCTATTTCATCGCGTCCACCGCGACTCAGAAGTAGTGCTCCTTGGCAAACACATTCCAACTCCACAAAGCGGTATGGTATCTGCGCTAGCGGATTTATCCTCCTTATACACGAAAGGGACTGTACATTCCAGCTAAACGTGTGTTGTTTCTTTGAGAATGGTTCAGAACAAACCATCTCAGAGTAATTTACGAGAAAAATTTCACGAGAAGAAATATATTTTATTCATGCTCTTGTCCAGTGGTTGTTCTATAACATAAACCTACACGTTCCACGAGCTTTAACATGACTTTTAAGGTTGTTAATTACGGACTTTGGCCTGGCACACCAGGCAACACGACCGAATGAGACGATGACAGAAACGTGCGGCACACCGGAATACATAGCACCAGAACTGCTCTTGCGGGTACCGTACACTGAAAAGGTTCGCACTTCCTTTGATAAACCCAGTTTACGAAAGATCGCGAAGATTTCTAGCGACTCTTTCCTGACTAGCCCTTGTCATCTTGCAAGCCGTTCGCTCGTCTAGGGCGTGTTAATGAGACTCAGGTTGGCGCGGCACCACCGATTTTCTTTCTCACCCTCTTCAACAACTGGTGGAAAACTGGCTGGAGTCGCTCCAAACCCGGTCCCTGGCACGCCCAAGCATCTGCAGCCAACAATACCGTAGCTAGAGGCTTTCATTACTTTGCAGTTAGCGTGGTCTGCAGTATGGAATCCTCCCTAGGCCAAACATATCATTCCACGGTGTCTGTATATTGGTGGGAGAGTTTCCTGAAGGAAAATCGGGGGCTTGACACAATTCGAGCCTGTCGAAGGCGGTGTCAGGAGGGCGGAACGAGCCCGCCTCCGGCTGTCTTGCTCTACGAATGGAGATAGGCTAGTGATCGATTTAGTAGGAAAATATTCAGGGGAAAATATCCAGTTATGTCTATTATCCTCAGGTTAGCATCCCAGGGGTGGAAATGCCGCAGGTGGGGTCATTACATCCCTCTCAAACCAACCAGACTGATCATGGTGATACAGACTGTAATTTCCTCAGAACTGAACATTTTAGGTTGACATGTGGGCTGTGGGTGTGATCGCGTACATTCTGATGTCTGGTATTATGCCTTTCGACGATGATTGTCGTTCTCGGCTCTACACACATATCATCACTGCCAATTATGTCTATTATCCTCAGGTTAGCATCCTGTTTCTATCTTGTTCTATTTATATTTCTTATTACTATTTGCGTCCTCTCTGGCTGGATGTGCCCAAATTACCGTCGATATCGTCGCAATCCGGAGGCGCGATGTCAGGAGGCGTGGAATGAGACCGACCGCGACGTTTCCTACCACTGTTGTTTTCTACCTGAACGCGGCCACCATTGGTAAACAGCGCAGTTGCAAGGGCTGATTCCACGCCTCCTGGCACCGTCCCGACGGATTGGACGATGTCAACTGTAAATACACAAATTGCCTGCAATGAGTCACGATTACAGTTCTGGTCCGGATCAGAATCAGCCAAGCAGTTTGTCGACTGTCTTCTCGAGACGAATGCAGCGGAACGTTTGAGTGCCGTAGATGCTGCCCGTCATGAATGGATAACAGGAGAGCGTGTTGTGCCGGTGATGAGCACTAGAACTTCACGACCCACTTCTGAATACAATACCATGCAGAGAGTGAGTTTGCTTGTTGAGACTTCAGACATTCACTTCATACTTACTTTTATAACTTCTGCTACGTTTTTTTTACAAAGTAGGGGAGCAGTGAAGGTACGGTACGGCCTGCGAACTCATGAAATACTCATGAAATAAGTCTCACGGGTAGAGGTACCGTCGCTGATCGTGTAGGCAGAGGCAGTCAACCACCGTACTTCCCTCATCACATCCCTCCTGTTTATCCTCTCAGAACGGCAGGCAATCAAGGGATCCAAATTGACGATTTCTGCCCACCCGCTCAGCGCGGAATGTGCCTTTGAGTCATACAGTCGCATACAGAAACCATACTAGCAGGGCACATCGTTGTTGGGGAATCCCCAATAGGGGGGGTCGTATTTGGGCTGAGAAAAATTTATTTTGATAGTTGATTTTTCTCGCTTCATGGACGTTGTAAAGGGAGGGGGGGGGGGTCGTATTTGATCATTTTTGGGAGGGGGGTCGTATTTACGTTTTGGCGTTGTGGGAGTGGCGGTTGACTTTTGGTGATTTTCCTGTTTCACGTACTATATGCCCCCCCCCCTCCCCGCTCGACGGCTCGATTCGATGAGGAAGGACAGAGGGCTGGGGGGGGGTCGTACCAACTCCCAAAAAAAAGGGGGGGGGGTCGTATAGAGTCGACTAAAATCCCCAACCAATGATGTGCCCTACATACTAGGCTTCGTAGAATTTCCACAGTACACTACACTATCTTTGATTGTTCCTTTCCATCACTGAAAACTCTCCAAAACAAAACATTCAAATTCAATTCAACAACATTCAAATTCTATTCAAAACAACCTACGATACACACTGAAACTTGTTCGCAGCTCTCTTCCGTGAGTTGTGGCCATTCTGTAGACTTTGAAAGTTTTTCCGATCCCAAGTGGTTACTCCGTCTCCCAATTGATAAACTGTCCAGTCAATAAGTAACAAGTAATTGTGACTGTTTTCAGACGAAATCGACTCGGTCGATCCGTTCTGTGACACGGTCAGACCACGGCCATCGAGTGGATCCGCGGGAGGTTGATCAACTCGCCAATGACCTGAAACGGGCCGCTCAAAGCACGAAAAACTATGGAGTTTTCTAGCGTCACCGTTATTGCGTGAAGTGCCATTCGGACCAGTTTTTACTACTTATTATTTGCTGCTGTCGCCGACTGCCTCCCACCCTCTGCCGTTCTCCGAGTGAAGAGGGAAAAAACGGAGGTCGCCAGCAGTCTCACGCAGTCATATTACGGGAATTTCTCTTTATGCCTATCGAGCCTCGAATGAGTTCATCAGGGATCCATGAAGTAGTATAGTTATCCGGACACTAATTATCTCAGTGTCGTGATGAATAAACCGTTGTCATCATCATCCCCCCTCAGCTAGACTTTGATCGATTACCAATAACTTTGTTCGACTGATCGATAATCAATGTTGTTTGACGTTTTTATCTCTTCATCAGAAGCTTTTTGTACATATTAGGTGTGACTTAATAGAGAATATCGTTGTACTTCGTTTGCGTGTGCGTGCCACATTATCTAGTCCTTTTATGGATATAAAAATTTATTGCACTCGACTTGTCTGAATATTTCATCTGGAGAACTTTTTGCAATTTTTTAGGGACAGTTCAGTGCGGGGGGGGCATTTTGCACTTCCGCTACTCCTCATGGACGACTTAACCCATCGAGAGAGCCATTTCATGACCTCACAAGAGTTGACAGGTTTCACCATGGTAGCTAGACAACCTTGCTATACTTCACAAGAGTTCCATGTTTCACCAGAGGAGACTTGTAAACCGGTACAAGTGAAGCAGTGAAAGGGTAAAATGCCCCTCCCTTTGCTGACCTGCGCCGTTTTTCATTCAAAACTGCGAAGTAAGCCAGTGCGAGGCTCCACATGAGCATTGACATTCTTGAAGGGCAACGTGTCTCAACGGTGGTCGAAATAAGGTAGCTGCATAGGTGGGTAGGTCACGTTCGGTTGAAGTGGGGGCAACTCATTGTAACATTTTCTTGGCCAGGAAAGGTCAATGTAACGATGTAAGCTATTGGGAGTTGGACCACCTTTTTCCACCGACTCAGCTCCAAACTCTCACCTGTCAGGACCCTTTTTTTTTACGAGCGAAAGCCGGAGAGTTCATAACACGTTGGTCGTTTGCGGCGATTGTAGTGGCTTATAAGATAGGAATCAGGCACTCTGATGGCGGATTCGCTCTGAAAGCTCTTATCTTTTTATCCTAGTGCCAATTGCTTTGACGGCAAAGAGGTTGCATTTGGACATGTTTCCATTACGTTATTCCTTTTTTGTTCGTTCTCTTATACGGTTCTGTTGGCAACCTCCCATCACCCATTTTCCTCAAAATCATTCAATGACGTTGTTATGACGTTACGATGCTGTTGGACGCGCCCAAAAGGCCTCAAGCGTTCGGTTTTACTTACACTATTCTAGTAGAGCGAAAGAATTCATTGGTTAATTTTTATCTAATTTTTCAGTACACTCTATACCTCTTAGGCCTTACTCAGAAGCAGTTCGGTCTATATCTCGCTCGGCTTAGAGAGAGCAAGGAGTCACCATGGACCTAGTCAATGAGACGCGCGCAACAACTAGACCTATGAGCGATCGGGCGTAAGCACCCCCATAGGTGATACCGAAATCCCTGAGGTCGCGTAGGCTGAGCATTCGAACCCTGTTAAGGAACTGAGTTACTGTTGGATTATTCCAGTCTTGGGAATCTGGTCAGTTAGACAGAGACACGACAACGATTGTGTCGAGTGAAAATATTCGCCATCAGAGCGCAGACGCCTTAGGAGGAAGTTTTAGTTTGAAACATGCGGTCACGCCTACCGATGCTTCAGGGATTCTCGAGTGTTTCATTTAGAACGCTGCCCTGCACGTTCCCCCCATTCTAGCCTGAATCGTCAGCATATTGATCCGACAGTCACCTGCCGCGCATCACCGCTAGACAGATGGAGAGCTCACTTCCAATCTCAATATTTTGGCCTGCAAGCCTAATCCTGAGCAGGGCACCCTTCCCTGCCATTTGACCTGAATTTCGGTTGCGCGAATTTGTTACTGGGGCAGAACAAAATCCCAATCAAGGACACTCCTCGTCCACCTTAGGGATGCTGTAAACTCTTTGCTGTCAAAGGGTGTCTCGCTTGAGGTTGAGGTTGTTAATTCACCATTCAGCCAATTCTTTATTGGCTTGCGTTCGGCGGCATGGCCTTCCTCAAAGCCTGAAGGGATCGAAGCAATTTAAGACTACCCGACACCCCACCAAACATCAATATTACCCTACTGAATTTCAAGATCAGCTCAGCTCATCACCTTATTCCGAGAAAGGGCATCTTTCTCTGGTAGACCTAATTTTCGTTGTGCGGATTTGTTACTGAGGAAGGACAAAATCTGAACAAGGAAACCCTGAATACACGGACCACTGGCGCACTTGGAGAAAGGGACAGTGACGGGTGGGGCTTATCCTGAAAAATGATCAGAACCGTGCACTACACTAATGGTTTCCGTCGGCGCATGCAACCTTTTCCAAGTAAGTGCAAAGAAAACCTGGATTTGATTACCGAATGTGAAGACTTTCCAATACCAAAACGATTCGCACGAATGTAACACTTTCCTGGCATGTTCATGCTTTGAGTCAGGTATAATGGGTCTGAAAGCACCACTGTTTTGTCTTGTCGCCGCTCTGGAGTGGACAACATGTGGTGTTGAAATATATTACCCTCGTGACCCATGTTATGTTGTCACTAGGAAAAAATAATTGCAGATAGTGTAATGTAAAGTGCTGTGATTGTGATCAACACAGGGGACGCTCATAAAAAATTGCTTGAGATGCGCCACGCATATGGTTGCCTCTCAAGCACATACACCCTTGACGGAGTTTGGTTAATACATGTTTATAGTTGGTGTCATCGCAATCAGTCAGGGCGGCGTCATGAGGGGCGGAGCGGAATGAGCACTCTACCAGTAGTGATCGGTTAGGGGCTGACTGAGGAGGAAAACAAACGCCGCAGATGGACTCATTCCATTCCTCTCAAAACCGCAAGGACTGAGTGCGAGCGCGCTTAATCCCACTGTAGATAAGAGCTTTCATGGCACCACAGTTTTTGGCATACGTTCTCGAATCGGTCATGTTGCTACCTAATCCCGTATTCAATGTGAACAATTTTTTCGGATTTGTGCGTGACCTCAGTGTTCCTTTCACCATTTTTGCTTTATACCTTGTTTTCCTAGTAAGGCGGTGCGGGCGAGATTCAAGTTGGATTTGCCACCGTTGCCGTAGTTCTTCTAGGAGCGCGGTTGTAAGGGAAATGTTTGGAATAAACAAAAAAAATCAAAACAAGAATTTTCTCGATTGAGGTTCACGTAATCGGTATGAACGGGGTTAGACTCTCGATCGACAGACATACAATGAGGCGCGAGTTTGTCGAATTCCGAGGGCACTCTGCTTTCACAGAGGGCCTTTGTGCCGACCTTTCCATCTAGGTAGCCTTTTCTTCGGGTTCGACACGTATTGATGATGGTGGGCTAGCGACGATTGCACCAAGCTTCACAAGGGTTTCACCAAGTTTGTACCAGGGGTGACGATTTGTGAAACCTGGAACTAGGGACAGCAATGGTAGTACAAAAATGCTCCCCCGGTGGCACCCCGTCGGGACAAGAACGAGCGGCCCATACAATATACACAGGATCGGTACGTACCTGTTAAGGCGCAAATGACGTGTCATTGACGTCACATGGCATGTCAACCACGTGTCTTGATGGCATTGACATTGATACAAGGTTTCTCGTCACTAAAGGATCATGCGATGCGTCATTCCACTAGCATGTCAAATGACCTAACTGTTAACAGGCAACGAACCTTTGCTACACCTGCGCTATTTCCGTGGTATTCTAGTGGGCGGGAACTCACAATGACTGTCTTCCTCTTGGTGCTCCCTTCTTCCGAAGAGTGGCGCGTGAACAGGTATGGCTCAACAGTAGTGAATAACCGCCCATTCGTTCGTTCGCTGCGGAATTTCTTTTGAAACATTGCACGAAACAATTCAGTATGTACAAATGTGCTGGCACTTTTAGTCTGCGTTCATACTTTCCGGCAGCGTACAGCAGCGGCCTATAGCGTCCACCAGCGTTCCGAGTGACAGCGACTAGGAAAGTATAGTTATCGGTCTAGCGTCAGCCAGCGTCCACCAGCGTCTACCAGCGTGCGCCAGCGCCTAGCAGCGTCCGCCAGCATCCCGAGAGCTAGAGAAATATAGAACTGGGAACGCTGGTAGACGCTAATGGACGCTGCCACAAAGTATGAACGCAGTATTAAGAAAGAATTCAAGCTGGTACAAACAGGTTCTTGTTTAATAATTTCGGCTTGAGCTACGACCAATTTGCTTGTAGTTGAAGTTTCGACTCCCCCTATACCCTTATAGACATTACAATTATGAAATAGCAAAAAGTTGCGAAAAACATGGAATTGCAAAGATTTCATGCCCACATGTTCGAGGTTTACAGTCTGTGATAACGGTTAGATCTTTCCGCACTTCTTTGATCAAAAAAGATTCCTGTTTCGACTCCGCAGTAGAATGAACACATTCCTGTTGCTCCCGGGGGTCCCGCAGAACCAAGAAATCCAGATTCTCCTTTTAGCCAAGGGGTTCCACCG